AGGAGGTGTAGCATGGTATGCAAATGAGATAGACAAGGATAAATAGGGAACAACTAGTGAACAGTAGGGCATTGCTTAGCGAACACGGTTGCTAAACGTAACACAAACTGTACTACGACTGCTACTACATAGAGAGATATACCAAACATTACAAGCACTATATAAAATTCACTTTTTTTTATCCATAATGTTGAATGTTAAAAATTATTCAACTTTTTAACAAGAAAATTCTTAAGTTGATATTAAAAATTGCCACAAATCATTGTTGGTTTATTTAAGATGGACAGATCTATTATGACAGGTCTCTAATTTGTATATAGATACATTGTATTTATTCTATTTGAATTGTTCACCTATCTTGCATATGATCCATTACTGTACATCAGAAGATTACAATAAATTGCAGATTTAGCATTGAAAATTCTTCATTGGATTTTGTCAAGAATCTCTAGATACATAGTAGAAGCACTAGACTAGATATGGCATCAATATTCAATACACGAAAGAATTGTAGACTTATAAAGGTATAAGATAGATTTTGGCGAGATCAGAGAAAATGATTCGATAGATATTGCCAGCACACAGCTCCGTTCATGTACTCGCTCTAAACTACCATTTTGTTTTTCAAAACCAAAAGAGAAAACACTGATTAGTGCATTAATTTCTGTTAGAATAAAAATTAATTAAGTTTATTACTATTTTTTAATAAAATGTATCGTCACACATAAAATGTATCAAAATTTGTTTTAGTTAAGGTTTTTACATTTATAAAAATACAATTTTTCATGTGTACGAATATTTATTTCCTCCCACTGTATATATATATATATATATATATATATATATATATATATGTGTGTGTGTGTGTGTGTGTGTGTGTGTGTGTGTGTGTGTGTGTAGAGAGAGAGAGAGAGAGTGTGTGTGTTTATGTTTTACGACATATCAGCCACAATGGGTTAATACCGACAGGATATGTTCGTATAAATAGAATATTTCTGTACTTTTATAGAATTTTGACCCCAGTTTGCGTGGGTTAACTATTTGCCTATATCTGGGACCCTAACAGGTGCTACTACCCCGGGTGTCTGCAGTTGAAATGTCTTGAACAACAAATGTAACAAATACATCGCCTTCATCAATCGCTCAAAGGCGTTCGACTTTGTTAGCAGGAAAGATCTGTTCCAGTTACTAATGAAACTTGGCTGGCCTCCACCTTTGTTGATCATCATCACCTCCTTTCAGAGTGGCGTAAAACAAGGATAACTTTTAGCACCGACTTTGTTTGGCATCTTCTTTTCGATGTCATTGAGCTTTGCGTTCAGACAAGACGAAGAAGGTGTATACTTACATACAAGAAGCAACGGCAAAATATTCAACTTGGCCCGCCTGAGGGCAAAAACCAAGTTGCCTAAAGTACTCATCAGAGAAATGCTGTTTGTTGATGTCGCAGCTCTGGCCAAGCAGGCCAAATACGATCTCCAGCATATGATTAATCAGTTCAACCATGCCTGTAAAGTTTTTCATAGATGGAGTTGTATTCTACGGCTTATCAACCCTTTGCAGGTAATTTAAAGCCAGAAACTATTTTTAGATTGTCACAGTTTTTGAGGGGTGGGGGAGATAATATTGGTTTAGTGATATAACTCTTACTAATCAACACATAATTATGAGGGAGAATAGGTGGGTTCATGCCTTTCCCAAGGGTATTTGCGCGTAAATGAATATAATGAACCAAACTGGAATTGGAACTTGGCTCTCTGATTAACAATTCCGAGCTATTATCTATTACACCACCCGCACATCCAAGTTAACAGCATCTGGTATTCCCAAGCAGTCAACAATCTAGGTAGTGACCAGATTCGACATTGCTTAACTTCGGTTGTCGGACGGTAAGGAATTCGGACTGACTATTAACATAAAAAGACAACACACGCCATGATGTTTCTGCATTCTCATCAATCAGCTTCGAAGACGTGTTGATTGAAGTTACAGATCACTTTACATATCTGGGATTTATCATCACCAACAACCTATCGCTTGACATGGAAATTGACAAACACATCACCAAAGCAGCAGTAGTTATGACCACATTGAGCAAGAGAATATGGAACAACAGTCAGCTGACCTTGTGCACCAAACTAAAGTTATTCCAGGCATGTTTCCTTAACAGTCTACTTTACAACAGCGAAAAATGGACAACATACATCAGCCAGGAAAAACGCCTGGAAAGCTTCTATCTCCGCTGCCTACGACGCATCCTCGGCATCACATAGAGGGACAAAGTTACCAATACTGTTGTTCTGGGGCAAGCAAACTCCTGGAACATGTCTTCTTCTTTGTCAACGTCGTCTTCGATGTCTGGGTTATGTAAATCGAATGAATGAGGACCGTCTACCAAAAAGAGATTATGTAATATGAGCTGGAGACGGAACACCATTCAGTAGGCCACCCTGGACTACGTTTCAAGGACGTTTCCAAAAGGTACATGAAACTTACAGGTATCGAATCTGGAAGCTGGGAACAGCTAGCAGACGATGGCGGTGACTGGTGTTATGCTGTTCAAAGAGGAGACACGAAAGGTGGGAAAAAGAAAAAGAAAACAAATGTTGGAGATCAGAAGACAGAGTCGGAATCAGAGAGAGAGTAGAGCAGTTGCTGAAAGAGAGTAGAGAGAGAGAGAGAGTAGAAAGAATGAAAGGTCAGAAAAGTTCCAGAGATGAAAGAGTAGTTGGCTCAAAAAACCAGAAAAGAAATGAGAAAGAAAGAGAATGAGAAATAAAAGAAGAGAGAGTATGAGAGAGAAAGAAAAAAAGACAGAGTTTAAAAGCCTTCAAAAAGATCAGAGAGAAAGGGTTACAGAGAGAAGATAGATGAAGGAATTTTGAGATCCCAAGAGAAAGATTCTAGAGAGAAAGGTAGAACAAATGAAAATTCAAAAATTTTTCCAAAAAACTCGGTGAGGACGAAACAGTGGACATTAAGAGAAAAGAGAAGAATATGTGAGAGATCCCAGTCCTCATTTAAACATTCCAGTTTTCTTTTCTGTCACGACTGCAGAAAAGAGTCATTTTCATGCAGAAATTGAACTACATAAAGCATTCTGGACGACTGCACAACAAAGGGATTGAAAATTAAAAGGATAATTGACCAAATTTTGAGATAAATGGATGCCTACTTTACTGCTATAATACGTAAAGACATCGACTCGATAGGAAGAGGTTCAATTCTAACGTTTGATCAGATGGCTACATTGAGCAAGAGAGCATGAGGCAACAAGCAGCTGTCTTTGCGCACCAAACTAAAAATAATCCAAGCATCGAAACCTGGACAACATACGTCAGGCAGGAAATTCGCCTATAAAGCTTCCATCTCCGCTGCCTACGATGCATCCTCGGCATCACACGGAGAGATAAAGTTACCAATACTGCTGTGCTGGGACAAGTAAACTCCTGGAGCATACATCTTCTTTTTTGTCAACATTGTCGGAGTTAGCTCCTCCTTTAGTTCCTTAATCTTTCACCAGGGGTTTCCCTTCCCTGGCTATAAATACTCGCTGACCCTTCGCCTCTTCCTCTTTTTTCCTCAGGCCTTTGGGCCGCAACCTTGAGGTAAATCTCTTTCCTCAGGCTTCAGTCTTATACCACCTCGCAGATGTAAGCGCTCACAAATACAGCGTTTTCCAAATGCTGGGAACACGCTAAGAACAATACACGTACGTACGAACACTCACCACAACACAACACACACATAATATTCACCACACACACTCTGTCCATGTAACTGTCCATGTAACTTGTAACCTTTCTTGTTATTAATACATATATTTTTATACATATATTTATCGGTCTTGTTTTTGTTTTTCTTTGCCTTCTTTGGACTTAATTAAAGTCCAGCTTTCTCATCTAGTTGGACCGGCTAGCAGGAAATTTCTACCCACGTGTATACATCTACTTCTACTCAACATCGCCGACGCGGTCCTTTACAACATCGCCTTCGATAGCTGAGTCACGCACATCGTATGAATGACGGTCGTATACCAAAAGACATCATATATGGTGAGCTGATCACGGGGCACCGTCCGATAGGTCGCCCCACACTAAATTTCAAGGACATTGGCAAGAGACGCTGTGAATCAAGTCACTTTTTGGATCACTTAACGCTTTTATCCTTGAGGCCATCAGTACAACTCGAAGTGGTGTAATGGTTAGCAAGCTTGTATTGTTAGAACAATTTACGATCGAGTAGTGAGTTCGATCCTCACTGGATGCCCCATGCTTTCGGCCTTGTGCCACATCTAAGCTATTCTTGAAAAGTAACTATCCTCGGGGACATCAGTGAGTGAATTTTTGGAACTTATAAATCTAATGTCTCAGTAACATTTTTTTACCAGAGCTCATATTATAATTATTTTTGTTATTGTTGTTTTTTCTTTAACTTTCCTATGTATATCCTGTGATTGAGTGATTGATTGGTTTATCTACCTGTTGCAGGTTATTTAAAGCCAGAAAATATTTTTAGATTATAAGAATTTTGGGGAAATAATCATGGTTTACTGATACAAGTTCTACTAATTAACCCATAGCTGGGAGAGAAGAGATGGATTCATACCTTTGCCAAAGATAAACGAATATAACGAATCCGGCGGGAATTGAAACTCGACTGTTCTGTTTCCAATTCTGGGCCGTTATCCAGTACATCACCCGCGCATCCAAGCTTACAGCACCTGGTATTCACTTCTTGTTCCATCAGAATCAAGCTGGTTGTCGCTAAAACACGATCTCGTCAAATTTGAATCCAGTTTGAACCGATGTGTGGGTACCTAGGCTTTGAAATAATCTATATGACGTACATCCGCTGCAGTCAGCACATTTCGACAGTCTTCAAATCTGCGACGCCCTGAGGAATAAATATTTACGCACAGTCGCCTACAAGATTGGGGTTCCCCCAAGTTAGACATCATTAACACTTTATATAAGTAAATTGTTTTGCTAGCATGAGTCATGTATTTAAGAGACACGCCCCTCATATTATACATTACAATTCAACATTCCTTATACCCCCTCTCTCTTTGTCATTCTCTCTTTTTCTCTCTCTCTCTCTCTTTGTCATTCTCTCTTTTTCTCTCTCTCTCTCTCTTTGTCATTCTCTCTTTTTCTCTCTCTCTCTCTTTGTCATTCTCTTTTCTCTCTCTCTCTCTCTCTTTGTCATTCTCTCTTTCTTCTCTCTCTCTTTGTCTCTCTCTCTTTTTTTCTCTCTTTTTCTCTCTCTCATTCTCTCTTTTCTCTCTCTCTCTTTGTCATTCTCTTTTCTCTCTCTCTCTTTTCATTCTCTCTCTCTCTCTCTTTGTCATTCTCTCTTTTCTCTCTCTCTCTCTTTGTCATTCTCTCTTTTTCTCTCTCTCTCTCTCTTTGTCATTCTCTCTTTTTCTCTCTCTCTCTCTCTTTGTCATTCTCTCTTTTTCTCTCTCTCTCTCTCTTTGTCATTCTCTCTTTTTCTCTCTCTCTCTCTCTCTTTGTCATTCTCTCTTTTTCTCTCTCTCTCTCTCTTTTGTCATTCTCTCTTTTCTCTCTCTTCTCTCTCTCTTTTCTCTCTCTCTCTCTTTGTCATTCTCTCTTTTCTCTCTCTCTCTCTTTGTCATTCTCTCTTTCTCTCTCTCTCTCTTTGTCATTCTCTCTTTTCTCTCTTTCTCTCTCTCTTGTCATTCTCTTTTTCTCTCTCTCTATCTCTTTGTCATTCTCTTTCTTCTCTTTCTCTCTCTTTGTCATCTCTCTTTTCTCTTCTCTCTCTCTTTGTCATTCTCTCTCTTTGTCTCTCTCTCTCTCGCTCTCTCTCTCTCTCTCTCTCGCTCTCGCTCTCTTTCGCAGTTTCTTCTCCAGCAAAAGAGATGTTACATGATTTTTGTCCCCCTCTCGAGAAACAAGAACTCCACAGGGAAAACAATTTATCGGTGATAAAATGTTTCACACTTTTGTGTTATGTTAACCCACATCCAATGATATTCTTTAGAATGTCACAAGTATTAAAGTCGAACATTGTGAAGATATTTAAGGAATTATTCTTCCTTTGTTAATGTTAATAAAGAAAGTAAACGTTGTCGCATAACAATTAACAGCTCGACAAAATTCGCACTAATACCCTTGGGAAAGGCATGAATTGAATAATAACGTGGGACAACTACACTCCACCCTGAAGTGACCAAACCGTAGTAACAGAAAATGAATTTAACACATTGTGTCAATCTTAACATGATTTAACCATAGATATAGGGTAATGAATAGCGGCTCGGATTGAGGAATCGGAGAGCCGAGTTCGAATTCCAGTCGAATCCATTACATTCACTTACGTGCTTATACTCTTGGGAAAGGTATGAACACTCTTCTTCTCCACCCAGCCTCCCAGCTATGGGTAAATAGCAGGGCATACCGGATTGGATGGCAACCGGTCTACCGCAGAAAGAAATGGCAACCTATTGCGGGAAAAAAATCTGCTTCGTCAGTCATGTATCTTGCGATACATGATCGCCTAAGGGTGTAAGTGACAACAACACCGGAAATAGGGTATATCCGGTTGCTGGTCTATGTTAACAATCATATTCAAATATGGGGAGAGTTCTGATCCGCCTTTGAGAAAAGACGGATGTGTCCGTCGCGCGGTTCCGAAACCTCATTTCGTATTGCCCAGCTATCACGTATAAGCCGCGTGTATATAATATGTGAAACAAGGTTTGCGTTCTCGTTTCTCGGTGAGAACATCGTGTTACCATAGTGAAATTAAGAGAACTAGCTGCCAGTTTGTTATATCAATCCTTCGTTAATAGCGTAGATTTGGGGTTAACTGGGTGCAGGTAATGCCTTGTAAATTTGAATATCTCCGAAACGAAACCGCTCTCATTTAACCATCATAAACTTTCCTGTCTGCAATCATCTTGGCTGATGCTAAGCACCTGGAGTGTGATACACTATGCCTTCTTGGCCTCACGTTTTCAACTGAATTGAAGTGGAACAACTACATCAAATCAATAGCTGCATCAACTGCAAGGAGCTTTAGGTCACGGCGTCGTGCCAGAAGGTTTTCCTCGTCAAAGTCCATCTTGCACATTTACAAATCTATCATTCGTCCGTGCATTGAATACTGTTGCCACATCTGGTCTGGTGCTCCTGCTGATATTCATCCCAAGGTTCTAACAAAATCCAAAGACGGATATGCGATACAATCGATCCTTACTTGGTATCTCGACTTGAGTCACTTTCTCACCGACGTGACGTGGCTTCCCTTTATCTTTTCTACAAATATTTTCATGGCAACTGCTCTCTGACGAGCTTTTTTTCCTGGTGCCCTGACTACGTGAATTTAGGCGCGCTTTCCTCTTCTTCCTACGCGATCAAAAATGGAACAGTCCATTATATATGAAGTATTGGCAGATGTTAAACACATCCATCTTCTTTCTCTCGTTCATTTTGTCACTGAAACTATGCTGTGTTTTTGCTCTTTTTCCACGCGATCAAAACGGAACAGTCCATTATTTATGATGTATTGGCAGGGCATAACGGTCGTGCGAACTAACCAAGGAAGGGAAAAGTACAATTATAATAGGATCATACGTTAATCTTTTCTCACTAGTGACCTCATGTTGGTGGTTATTAGTACAGTGTTTCTTCAGGATTTTGTCTTAGCTGATAACAGTTTAGGAATTTTCAGTCGAACACTTTATTCCGTCCACGAGGTTAGATCATTCTCATCACACTAATCATATTGGACAATTATTTAATTCTGTCTATCTTTGTTGTCATATTTATCACAACGTTTCGGCCGTTGTACGCTCCGGCTTTCTTCAGGTGGTTGGAATGTCGAACTGAACCCTTTATTTCGCTCGCTGGGGTAGACTGTTCTAGTTCCATGTGCCATGTCTAATGGATATCAGTTATCAGTTATCTCCTGTTAATTCCCCTCTCCAAATTCTCCACCGCCTTAACCAGCTATTGAACTCACAATTTTTTGGGTCCTGTCACTGGATCTAACTAACGCCTTTATCCACTGTGCCGTGTGTTCTTGAGGACAGTTCAGTTCGACATTCCAACCACCTGAAGAAGGCCGGAACGTACAACGGCCGAAACGTTGTGATAAATATGGCAACAAAGATGAGGACGATAGTCCGAACAATGTAAATAGATTTTGATCCTGTTTGTTTAAAATTTCTATAGAAAACTTTGTTTTTGTCTATTGTCTAATGCAGGGGTTCTCAACAGGAGTGAAAATCACACCCAGGGGATGAATTTTGGATAGTAAGTTTAGGGTCTATCTGGCTTGTCACATTGAAAAGGACGGTGAGAATGGCATTCTGACAAATGGTGAAAGAGGCGCATGGGACAAGCAAAGTTGAGAACACCTGCTTTAGACTGATGAAGTCCTAAAAGACAAAATACACCACATAAAACCTTTTTCCACTTTGTCTTAGATTTCTCTAAAACTGTTCTTGATATATAAAAAAAATTATATATCGTTTAAAAATGAGTATTTAGTAAAAGTAAAAACATAATGGAAGATGGTTCACATGTTTTAATAATGAACATAAGGAATTTAAAAAATTAATAGATAATTTTTAATCTAATACTATTTTTTATTACTATATGGGGGAAGGCACCCCTGTTTATTTACAAACAGTTAAATTAACATCCACCAGCCTAGATCATTATTAAAGAAATATACCTGAATATATATATTTGGGAAATTTATGACAAATTAGAAAAAGTTTTCATGTGACGCATTTTATCCTTTATCAGACAGACTAATGTTTATGTGACTTAAAAAAAATTTAATTCTCAGTACCTCCTCTCCTTCATACGCCTATGTAGTCACATCAACATAAACATCACTTTAGACTAGGGGTCCTCAACAGGGGTGAAATTCACCCTCAGGGGGTGAATTTTGAATTTTCAGGGGTGAATTGTGACCACAGTAAGTTTAGGGCTGGGAAGGAGAGCAATTATAGAATTTGGTCTATCTGGCCTGTCACCTTGAAAAGGAGGGTTAGAATGGCATTATGATAAATGGTGAAAGAGGTAAATGAGGCAAGCAAGGTTGAGAACCCTTGGTCTAATGTTTTATCGCTGAATTTCTTGCAATGTTCTCTTTGTTGAGAAGAAAGGGCAGAGACATTGATAAGTTTCATCTCCAGTTACAATTCACTTCAGAAAACGTTCAGATTTTGAGTCTGTTTAAAATTTCCATTAAACGCCCTAGTTTCGTCTGTTGCCGATCTGGGCGCAAATGTTTTGGTATCAGAACGTTTGCTCAACTTGAATTTTTTTCAGATAACCTTGTGAAGGCTGAACCAGTTGAGACGTCTTGGCTGTTAGCTATTATTTTCTTCTGATAATAATCGGACGACGGCAATTAATTCTGTGATATTTCTTGTCTTAATGTTTAGGAAACAAAACATAAGTATATGAACTTTGCATTACCCGACCTAACACCCGACCGCCATGTTTACGTGATTCGCTTCAATCTCTATCGGATTTTTGGCAATGTTTCAGATACTCATTTGCATTCATTTGAATAAAATATCTTCCAATAAATTATACAAATATTTTGCTATTCTTTACAGTAAAATAAACTTGGATTTATATGTTGTATAAACCGAAAGTATTTCCAAATAATAGATTGAAGGTGTGGCAGACAAACCTTTTCGCTAGACAATCAGTTATGTGCCATGCGTGATACACGCTTAGGTGATCATGTATTGTTTGATACATGACTGACGAGGCAGATTTTTCCCGCAGTAGGTAGTCATTTCTTTCTGCGGTAGACCAGTTGCCATCCAAATCTATAGAACCGCGTCTGTCCTGCTATTTACTCATATCTGGGGGATAAAAAGATTCATACCTTTCCCAAGGGTATTACACGAATGTAATGGATTCAACTGGGATTCGAACTCGGCTCTCCGATTTCTCAATCCGAGCTGCTATCCATTAATCCTCGCGATAGCAGTCTAACTGGACAAAATACCATATGATTCAATTAAATGAGGTCAAAATTGGACGAAAAGTAATGCCTCGGGTGAGGATCGAACTCACAATCTTCAGATTAGTTATCCTTTTCACAGGGACATTATAAGTTCCCCAAACGACCCTCCAAGGGTTTTGAATTCAGCTTTGTCCTTTTCCTAGACCAGTTGCCATCCAAGGCTATAGAAACCGGTCTGTCCTGCTATTTACCCATAGTTGGAGGGAGACAAGGATTCACACTTCCCCCAAGGAACGTAAATGAATGTAATGGATTCGACTGGAATTCGAACTCGACTCTCCGATTCCTCAATCCAAGCCGCTATCCATTACTCCACCGATAAGCCTGTCAGTAGCAACTCTTTTCAGCTTTTGGGTATGCGTTAAAAAAAAACAGGAGAGTGCATGCTGTGAATCGCAAGAAGCTAGGTCTCTTTCACGCCATGCCGAAGGACGCTAAAATTAGCGCTCCGCGTAATACGCCCACATGGATTAGACAGTATGCATCACACACTCTTTAATTCACCAACAGAGTAAGTTCAGCTTTTATTTCATTCTTTACAGAAACTTTTAAGAATATTTCTTGAATTTGTATTTTCTTTCAAGAACTATTCTTGAAATTTTCACTACACAAAAAAGTTCCTGATAATTTTTTTTTATTTTATCTCGTTTTGATTCACTCTTTAGTTTATTTTGTTTATTTTCTCAACCAATTCGAAACTTTTTTGTTTGTCAACAGACGATACCTTCATCAGACTTCAGACAACGAACCTAAACCTAAATAACAACAGTGATTATACCAGTTTAAAAACAAATATATCTTAGAATCTATCTAAGACATTTTACCATTCCCCCTTCCTTTAAATATCGCTGCCGCATCTGGTCTGGTGCCTTTATTATATATTTAGAGATTCTTGGTAAAATACAAAGAAAAATCTGCAATGTCATTGGTTCTGGCCTGGCATCTTTCCTTCAGTCACTTTCCCACCGCCGTAACGTAGCTTCACTGTGCCTTTTCTCTAAATCCTTTTATGGTAATTGTTCTGATGAACTTTCCTACTTGATACCTAGACTTTATCTACCAGTACCAGATTGACAACAAGGTCTCATCGTTTTACAGGTGGATGTAACCGTAAGTTCTATGCTAACAATATCTTCTCTTGTTCTTCTTGCAGAACTCTCTTCCGGCTTCTTAACTCCCAATCAACTTTGATCCTCAAAAGTTTAAATGCAATGTCAATCGTTATCTTTTTTTTTTTTTCTTAATTCTTGTTCTTTTATTGTTCTCTCACCTTAAGAGTGTTTCTTATTGCGTCTTCTCGGAATAATGTTTTCCGCTGATACGAAGCGAAAAGAGTATATTAAATCAAATTTGTTCACAATATTGAGCTAGCCAATTTTTCTCGCCAGAATTTATTTTACATTTGCCTTGCATATTGCTGCCACATCTGGACTGGTGCTTCTTCAGCCATTTCTTCTTCTTCTTCCGTCATTTCTTCGCCTTCTTCTCCAGTAATTTCTTCTTCTTCAATCATTTCTTCTTCAGCCATTTCTTCTTCTTCAGTCATTTCTTCTTCTTCAGCCATTTCTTCTTCTTCTTCTTTTCTTCTTCTTCTTCTTCTTCTTCTTCTTCAATCGTTTCTTCTTCTTCAGCCATTTCTTCTTCTTCTTCTTCTTCTTCTTCTTCTTCTTCTTCTTCTTCAGTGATTTTTTATTTAGTAATTTCTTCGTCTGTCATTTCTTCTTCTTCTCCGTTTCTTATTTTTTCCACTTACCGTTTATTTTCTTCTTCACTACTTCTTTTCTTAGCATCAGCTTCGTTCTTTTTTCACTTTTTCTTAGCCGTTGTCTTCTTCTTCGTCATTTCTTCATCATCATCATCATCATCATCGTCATCGTCGTCTTCGTAATAATAATCATCATCATCATCATCAATTCTTTATTTTCTTCATAGCCTCCCCCATTTTCTCCTCATCGTCCCTTTCTTTATTTTCCTGTTTTTCGATTTCAGCATTTCATTTCTTTCTATTTTCTTCTAATTACCATCTTTGCGTCATTCTCTCAGCTTTTAGTTCTCGACCTCTGTCTCATCACTCCTACTCACGCAAGAGTTGCACCATTTTCCCGCTTCACCGATTGGTCACTTTCGGAATGAAAAAAAAATCACGTGATTGTCGCCCACTAAAAATACAACAAAAGCCGAAAATGTTCTTTTTCTCTTCCTTTTCTTTCTGCAAATATTGATGAAGAACACTGGCTGCAAACACTGTTTAATGCTCCAGAAGTTTTCTTAATATTATTATCGTCTTCATTGGTTCAATATATCGTGTTGTTTTTATTCTTTTTAGGATTCCTGCTCGCTCAAGTCCTGTCGTAAGACATCTTCTGACCGTTCCTAGTACTAAAAAGACTGGAGGCACAACTGTCAGTTTATTATTTCACTATTTCTGTACAGTTCAGACAATACCTTGGTACATTCATTGTCCTCGCTTCTTATAAATCCCATCAGTCTTGTCCGGTTTACATCTCTGTTTGACAGTATTTTCTTTATTGTCTATCCGGATGTCTGCTTTTCCGGCTTGGGTTGGATAAAATCTTTTTCTTGCACAATCTCCGGAGACCTGTCATCCAAAACAGTTCAAGCTGAGGATTATCATTGCTATAATCAACCATACTTCTTCGTCATCGTCTCCTGGGTCTTTTCAGGACGTGGGTAACCATGGCTCTCAACAACTTCCTATCCTCTTTGAAATCTCTTGTCTTTTTTATCATCCCTCCCACTCCCCATTCTGTCATCCATTCATATGCGGAAATCGGGTAGGTGACTCGCAGCTTTCACTGTCCATTTTGCCTTGTCTTGTGAGTGTCAAATTCTCCAAACAGTCTTTTCTCAATATGTGTTCCAGAAATATCAATTGTTTCTTTCTGATTCTGTGTAGAAGTGTGTGTGTGTGTGTTTTTTTGTGTTCCTTAAAACATTCTCATCACAGATGAAGAAGAGACTTGAGGCAAGAGAAATGTGGTTCTACAGAAGGATGTTGAGAATGTCATAGACCGGACACGCGTGCAAACTTTAGAGAAAATGGAAAAAAAGGACACTTAGAGTTAACATAGAGACAGAGAAAGAGACAGTTGAAATTTCGAAGGCACATAATGAGGAAAGAGGGCCTGAGAACTTTAAGAACCAACCTGATAATCAGGATCAACCCACTTACCAATCCTGTGTAAATGGATGGCAGGTGAGCGAGTGGGAAGGATAGTAAACCGACAAATGTTGCTAAGGAGAGGATGTAGTGGAGAGCCATGATCAATCTACCTAACAATCCTGTGTAAATGAATGGCAGATGAGGGAGTGGGAAGGATAGTAAAAAAGACAAACGTTGCTAATAGCTGCAAAGGAGAGGATGTAGTGGAGAACCATGATCAATCTACCTAACAATCCTGTGTAAATGAAATGAATGTCAAAGAGAGGATGGATGGAAGGATGGGAGTGGGAAAAAAAACAAAGGTTGCTAATAGCTGCAAAGGAGAGGATGTAGTGGAGAGCCATGATCAATCTACCTAACAATCCCGTGTAAATGGATGGCAGAAGAGGGAGTGGGAAGGATAGTAAAAAAGACAAACGTTGCTAATAGCTGCATAGGAGAGAATGTAGTGGAGAGCTATGATCAATCTACCTAACAATCCCGTGTAAATGGATGGCAGATGAGGGAGTGGGAAGGATAGTAAAAAAGACAAACGTTGCTAATAGCTGCAAAGGAGAGGATGTAATGGAGAGCCATGATCAATCTACCTAACAATCTTGTGTAAATGGATGGCAGGTGAGGGAGTGGGAAGGATAGTAAAAAAGACAAACGTTGCTAATTTCTACAAAGGACAGGATGTAGTGGAGAGCTATGATCAACCTACCTAACAATCTTGTCTAAATGGATGTCAGATCAGGGAGAGTGAAGGGCAACAAGAAAAAGATTATGAAGAGCCATGGTCGCTCACATAGAAGAAGAATACGAACCAGAAAAATGGCGGAGAAAATATTATCCCCTTTTTCTTGACATTTTCTGTGAGGCAGAATTATTAAAAGGAGATCTTAATTCACCAAATCGCAACATATATGTTAACAGCTCCAGTCAATTAAGATTAGAAGCCATAGCCCGTGGTGGTGGTGGTGGTGGTCGTCGTCGTCGTCGTCGTCGTTAATGGTTTTGATTACTTCTTTCTTCTTTTTCTTCGTCTCTTCTATATATTATTATCATCCATTATATTTTACTCCTGGTCTTTCTTCTTTGCCAGGCGTTTCTTATTTTCTTCCTTATTCTTCTCCTTCCTTATTCTCCTCCTTCCTCATGCTACTCCTTCCTCTTCTCTCTTGAAATTATTCTCTTCGTCGTTTTTCTCGCCTTCGTCCTTGTCTACTTCAATCATCGTCTTCTTGATAAAGAGAAAAAGACTATTTTGCTTACACTAAAAATTCACAAAAATCCACAAAGGACCCAAAGTATAGATTAGGAAAAGAATCTGCGCTGATACCTATTTCTGGATAGAGTTTCCAGACTTTGCTAGAAATCTGTTAATTTCAATTTTCTAAAGTGTCATACTCAGATTTTTTTCTATCAGCAAAATCGTATGATGAAATGAAAAAAAAAACGAAATTGGAAAAACAACGAGGAAAAATCCAGTTAAGCAGTTAAATTCGCTGCTTAGAACCAGCCTCGACATCGTTAAAAATTTCTCACGTTTATCAACGGCCGGAAACACAATTACTGATCAACAAAAATTATCATTTTGCATTCAATATGAAACAAAACACTTAAAAAAATGATTCCAGTTTTGAATGCGATAAAAATTGCCTATGGCTTGCAACAAGAAAATGGGTCGTGATGCAGAGTAAAGGATGGCAAGAGGGCCCCCTATATCAAATAAAAATACAATAATGCAATTCTTTTAGTAATAAAAAGAATAACTTTATAAAGTCATCTGCACACTATCAGTTACCCAAATCCAATGTGAGAGGACATTTTCAAAGCTAAAAATCAGAAAGACAAGGTGAAGAAATTCGCTATCTGAGGATAATTTGGAATCATACATATCGCTATCCATTGAAAAGGAATTCTTAGATGAATTGGGTGCAGAAGCAATTATCGGCAGGTGCGAACAATCAAGTAAACTAAACACAAACGATTTTCTCTTAAAAAAGCGGATTGCATGTAATGCTATATTGTGCTTTTGAACTATCTGTTAATGTGTAAATTGTGTAGCAAAATATTTATAGACCCAATCCTCCACTTGTTGACACACACACACACACACACACACACACACATTATATATATATATATATATATATATATATATATATATATATATATATATATAAATTATTTATTTAAAATTATAACATAAATATGTCATAAAATCACTACAAAATAGCCATTTTGTTTCAACACCTCCAGTGTTTTATCAAGTGATGACGTTGAATGTAGAATAAATTTATGCTATAATTTTTAAATAATTATATCAACTCTACTATGTATTGAGCACTCTTTTAAGAATAGTAATTGTTGGTTATTGTAATTTATTCCGTATACACCAATCCTATACTTTTTATATATATATATATATATATATATATATATATATATATATATATATATAATGTGATGGATATATTATCGTCTAAATTACGCAAAATGAAAATAACACGGACATCTCATTTTAACATATATATTTACCAAAATTAACCAAAGATATCTTGAAATAACTAAAGAATAAATTTATCCAATAAAATCGGCATTGGCTTCAACCACTGCTTCCAGACGTCTTCGGAATTTCCTGCAAATCTTCTGGACGATTTTCTTGTTGGTGAATGCTACCATAATAATTACCTTCGGTTCATCTTTGGTATTACAAGGAATTTTGTTGGTCTCTCGCTCAACTGCGCGCCACACATTATAATCAAGTGGGGTTGCAGTCTGGGGTGTTAGGTGGCCAGATGATGTGGTCGCAGAAATTAACTGACAGCATTGACTGAGTTCTTCTGCTTGTGTGGTACGGTGTAGAGTTCTGTTGCTAGACCTAGGATCTTCCAGCAGCCACCCTCTTGACCCAGGGCAGCACTACTTCCTCAAGGTACTTGATGTAAGCCTCCGTATTCCTGTGGGAAAATGAATGGAGGTATAACGTCGCCATTGCTAGTGTTCACCTCAAACACCATGACGTAAGCCTCCGTGTTGAGTCTGAAGCCCTCACCAAGTTCTTTTCTTATTTGAACGATCACAGTGAGTTTTCGGAGCTACCGTACCTTCGTAATCGCCATTAGACTCATCCAACTCCATCCGAGTCCTCTGCTTTTTTAATTCTTTTGCAGCAGTTTAGAGTTTGTCTTTTTTTTTCTTTTTTTTTTTTTTGGAATGTTGTTATCGTTATTGCCTGGAATACGATCTTTTAGACCTTCTACCTTGAGAAGATCTCTGAGGTCAATAAATATGTATATATTATCAATAAAAGGGGTGGAATATAAGAAGAGAGAAAAATAATAAATGGAAATCAATCTTCCATTGTGGAACACCTTATAAATAACCGCAATAGTGCTGCTAATTTCAGTGTGGACTCGTTTTCCATCCTGAGTAGTTCCCACTCAAATTACCGCCTTAAGATATTGGAGGCCATATATATTTTATTCATGAAATCATCACTCTGTAAACAGAAGGATTTCGTCCTTGGCCTCCAATTCATTTCCATTTAATATATTTTTCTCTTTCTTTATATTCATCCCTTTTATTGATAATATTTATTGACCTCGATTTAGCTCTGTTGGGCGGGGTTCGAAACCGGTTAGCTAGCTCGTTTTTCATTTTTTTTCCCCTTTTAATTATTACCATGAGAGGCAGTATTAAAAATACAAATAAAATTTGTCTGTTTATGGCGGTTAAGTTTTGTACCACTAATAATTTAAAGTTTTGTACCACTAATAATTTAAAGTTTTGTACCACTAATAAAATGTTACATTCATATATTATAAATTAAATGATTTTAAATCTACTAATTTATAATATTTATGCTCTGTAAATTTACATTAAGCACTGTTTTTTAAAAATAAAAATATCAATTAAGAACACTGGATTATATATCTTACTGTTCTTACTTTTTTATTATACTATATATATATATATATATATAAATATATATATATATATATATATATATATATATATATATATATATATATATATATATATATATATATCAAGTTGTGTTGAAAACGCCTGACAATGTGCTGCGGTTGAGCTTTTTATATAATTTCTTATGTGTACGTTCGTTTTTTTTCTTTTTCAGGACATAAATTATATAAAAATTGTCCGATTTTTTTCCAAACGCTTTCGGCTATTATTTTAGCCATTATCAAGGATGAATTTTATTTTACTTTTAAATGAATATATGGATTGTTTTATGTCTGTATCTAGAGTTATAGGAATGTTTTATTTGCCAAACACGGTCAGCACATTGTGGCCGTTTTCATAGTTGATATTGCTGAGGGTTGGCCTTTTCTTTTTTGTTATATTAATAAAGCTTCCATTATTTTTAGAATTTTTTCACTTGTGGATGATGCTATTATATTTGTATTATCAACAAGTATATTATGGACAGAGTTTGGTAGGTCTCCACACGTATTTAAGTGAGACCTAATTGAGCTATGGTCAAAGAGATGTAACGTGAGTCTTCTTGTTAAACATGTAGTATATCCAATTATTTACAAATTTGGATTGGTCAGGATCACAGCTCCTTAAGGGACATATAAATTCATAAATAATTTTGGTTCTCTGTAATTTGGATCTTGCAAGTGAATTATTATTTTTGACGATGAGGTTAGCAGTTTTAAAGTTTATATAATGAATAAATAATTTAATTTTCTTGTTGTTGTCAACTGGAGTTGTGTATTTCTTTATGCTATTTATAAGTCAAGATTCGTCTTGCCTATACTTACTATGCATTTGATTTTTGTAGAAAAAATTTTTCTGTGTTCAATGTTGTTATTGGTTAGCTTATTAAAAAATTTTAAAACTGCTAACCTGAATATTATGAAGGTGATATACGCACAGTTGTAGTAGTCGTCACAAGTGACTTTCTCCCCCCCGTCTTTCTCGAGTTCTGCCTGTATAGTTGTATGGTTATGCTAATTAGTATTAGCCTAACCAATCCCACTACACTGAACATCAAAAATAATTCACTACAACATTCAGAATTTAAAAAAAAAAAAAAACTTGCTTTACGACAAATAACAACAGCTAAAAATGAAATCCAGTATTTAAATAATGGAATCTAAAAACATAATGCGATACTGATATACACCTTGACCGACCCCGAATATAATGAATCACGGAAAGTAAGACAACATTCAGAAAAAAACACGTTTTACGACAAATAGCAAAAATTAAAATGAAATCTAATATTTAAAGAATGGAATTCAAAAATATAATGCGATACAGTGTAACCCGGATAAAAGAGAGTTGTCCGGACCGGATAAGAAGTCTCTTATATCCGGGTTTCTCTTATATCCGAGTTTGGCCTATTTTGTTTACATTAACACAGGCTCTAATTTGGGACCAGAGAAAATCTCTCTTATATCCGGGTTTCTCTTATATCCGGGTTTCTTATATCCGGGTTACACTGTACTAAAATACACTTTGACCGAACCCGAATATAATAAATCACAATACCATATCAACCTAAGAATTAAGGATGACGAACTTAAAGACAGACAAATAATTACGAAAAAGCTTTGCAATTTATTCCAAGCAAATATTCTACTTCCTAACAACAGTGGTAAATATATAAACCTGTCCAGTCATAAACTAACAGATGACCAGGAGAAATTCTTAAGTCTAGGACCAAACTGCCATCTCCCGCCTAAATTTGACCTGATCACAAAGAAGACTGAAATCGAAAACTTACATCAGTCAATATCCCAACTGGAAAATGAGAAAATAATAAAACTCGATCCAAACCTCAGAGATCTTCTCAAGGCGGAAGTTCTAAAAGATCGTACTCCAGGCAATAACTATAATAACATTCCAGCAAAAAACACCTCAAAACTGCTGCAAAAGAATTTAAAAACAATCCTAATATTGTCATCAGAAGAGCTGATAAATACAATACTTACGTAATTTTGGACAAATTAGATTATTACAGAAAATTACAGCACTTCATCGATGATCGATCTAAATTTACAAAATTAAATAAAAACACCACTGACACTCTAAAAAAAATCTGTTAACAAACTCATAACATCTAACAACACTAATGTTGGATTCTTGAAAATCAATAAAATTATTGGAGATTACCAACCAGGATACCTATACGGAAATGGTAAAATATACGAAGCCGGATATCCATTACGACTTTATCAATTCACAGATATCAATACTGATATACCAATTGTCAAAATTTCTCAATGATATTATGACTCCA